TTTTGCGGGAGCAAATCTTTAAATGGGGGGACATCTGGCAACCCTGATTAGGAGCCATGATGTTGACGTACTTGAGCGAGTTTTGATTTTGAACTTTCAGATTTAGCTGTGGAAAAGAAAGGGTTAAAATTAAGATATTAGTGCAGAATGTTGTGTGCTTGGTATAGGTTTAGCATGCACACATCTAACATCGGCAATTTTATACTGGTGGGCATGGAGAAATCATACTTGGTTAGATATCATTATGATACCAGAATACTTGAATATGATCGAAGCTTGTCTATATATTTGGAGTTCATCATGGTATTCGAAACAAAGTGAAACATTTGATGATTATTATTCTTACGCAACGCACAAACTAGAATGTACAGCAGGCTTCATCGATCTTGCCGCATGTTTTGGTTGGTGAGTACTTTTAAATACTTCTAAATTTGAATCGTGGTTGCCATTGGTTGACTAAATCCTGAGGTCTTTCGGTAGAACTATACTAAGAAACGTGCTTCGGACTTGTTAAATATCGACAGGAGCATAAAACCCAATTTTATGTCATCATCTTGAGTGAGCATTTCTCACCTTGTTTAGGATTATGTCCTGGTATCGAACATATACACGTACAATTGGTTGTGGTTTTTCATTTGATGATCCAGATACCTTTGCTTATTCGACTACAACAGTCGCTGCATGTATCTATATCTCCTACAACTTACGAGTTCTGATTTATCCCGACGAATATGCGACGAATCACTTGTATTATAAAGGTGATATATTGTTTTGTATTGGTGCTTTCTATTATTGTCTAGCAGCATTGAGAGATGATGGATGGTTTTGGTTTATGTCATTGGCTGGACAATATGGAATAGCCGCTGGTCTTGTCGAAACACAAAAACCGATCAAACAAGGATTACCCCAATACTTAGTGACTGATCTATGTCGAAACAGGCGACAACAACTAAAAAAACGCACAGAAGAAGACAAAAACAATAATCAGCCCGATATTGTTGTCGGAAAGGACGAAAATACAGAAATGGTTCGATTATAAAACTGTAAAAAAGCTTTTGTACATTTTTTGTGTTAATGTGTAACTCTCAAACAATCACATAAGAGATACAGAAGTGACGGACTGTGTAAGTGCGCATGTCTAAAAAAATACGCTACAAGACTGCAAAAACTTACTTAATAAGCATGTTCATTTTATAGAATGTCTCTCTCCTTATTTTAGAATACGTCGACCATTAAACTATATTTTTAAACGCTTTCTTATTTTGTTCTTTAATAAAGACTTTGGTTCTTGAGAGGTTTCGACATTACTGATGTCTTTTGCAGTCGTTTTTATCTCGAAAAATTATATGTGTACAGTAACATCCCAAGCAAATATCACCTATGGGAAAAATCTAGATACAATTCGTCTGTAATCGGGCGATGTGCGACTAGTTGTCATTTAGATTACTAGTTGGAAAAGGGACTTTTAACTAGATGCGTCTGCAGGTGCATCTAGTAATAGTTAAATCGATAGTTGCAACTAGAAAAAATCTAGTAATCACCCAATTACTAGATTTCCATTGTTATTACACAGTAGTTACGATCGAGTAAAAATCTAGTAATCTAGATAAATCGGGCGATACTGGATTTGTTTTCGACGTTTGAGATGTAACCCAGAATCATGCGGCACTTGCCAGTACGGACAACAAGATCGCAGTTAATCTCACGAAGAAAGTAGATATTCGCCTGTGTCACGTATTGTCGATTGATGACGAGAATATATACAACGAATCCTAGTATAAACCTGTTTTTTCATTATTTATCTGCAGCTGGTCAATAAGCTTCGCCGCTGCTCTTGTGTACTACTCTAAACATATTGGCATTTGAACTTCCGAAAAGGCAAATTTGCAAGATTATTTGGTTAAACTAAAACTCCTCTGATCTTATTTACAATGACACATTTACAGGTAACAACACTTGCATCGCATCTAATGAAGCTTCTAAACCGCTTTCTTTTGTTGATCCATAATATCCTTGATATGCAATACTGTAGGGTACCATGCAACATTTCTTAATGCTCAAAAAAATACCTTTTCCACCAAATCATCGCCAATTTGCAGTGATCTATACGAATATGACAGTAAGTAAAATCGAGCAACAAAACCATTCATGCAAAACTATTTAACGTACAAGTACTGACGATACAGGTAATGTGCGACATTATATTGTGCTCTTATTTTTGGTCACAGAAAGGCCAGTGTAACTGATTGTTTCGTTACTAGAAAATAGCGCTCTTGTTTTAGCTTAAGCAGATGAATCAATTGAGGATTAATTCTTTTTGCTGACTTTGTGTTTGGGCGTCCGGCGAGAGTCAGCGGGCCATAGTAATCAGACGAATGTAAATTATTAGTTTGTAATAGATAGATAACTTTAAGCATTATTCTATAAACGTCAGATATGGCTGTATTTAAAAAAACCAGTAGCAGAGAGAAAAATAGAAAAAGCGTTCTGTAATAATTGATTAGAATTCTGGAGCGATTTATGACTTTTGCTTTCCAGTCTACTGAGTGTAAACTTTTTACTTTTGGTTTTCTAGTACTACCATTTATTCTAAAACTTTTTCTGCAGATAATCTATGGGTCATTCCTGTTATCACTCTAACTAATAAAATACTCCTATTCACAGATAGCCATTGAGATTTCGATTCATCACACATCATTCTTCATTTTGCTATTGGATAATATGTCAACTAATTCGCACAGAAAACTCCATCTTCTTCTCATGTTGCGCTGCGTTATTGACAGCCCCGTGTTTCAAAAGGTAAACTGTATCCTTTTCTAAAAAATAGTTCGCCATAGGCTACAACTTGTTTGCTTCAAACTGGAATAGTAAAGGGATACATTTAGTTTATTTTATATGAATCTATCAAGTTGACAAATAGAATAATTTCATAGTGATTGCACTGAGCATTTGAATAAAAATATAAAATTCTTTTCTCTCACTTTCTTGCCTATCTGTATATGCATAAAAAAAGAAAGACCGAACAGAAAGAAAACTGACATGAAACAGGCGGAACAAAAGCGATTTCTTTTCAAGTTCGAAGCTGAACTATCGTGTTGGAAAGCCTAAGCGAAGCTGTCTCGAAAAAGAGCCCCTATACCGCGACGCTATACGCTATGTGTAGATCTAAATTCTCGTAGTTGGAACATAATAGGCGACTTGTACGAAATTTATTTTTTTCATCGATCATCACAAATAAAATATTTTTTGAAACTTACTCAGTTGTCTCACACGCCCTTACTGTGTGACTGAGTAGAAAATCGCACTTTTTTTTTGAGAACCCTCATTTTACAAAAAATTCTATATTGCTATAAACATTCATTGTTTAGACGTAATTTTTATATCACGACAACTCTCAGGTACATTTCTCTATCTACTAATTTAAAAATCTTGTTAAAATTCAATAAGACTAATTAGTACTCATCAATTTCCAGAGAGCTCCTATCAAATGTCCCGAATTACCCCAAATGGGGTAATTCGGGACAGTTCAGCAAAAATGGCTGGAAGAAAGAAAAAATAACTTTTTTTCAACGGCAAAGGCATCTAGTAAGAATGTTATAGGCATTTCCCTAAAAAAAGCGGAGCAAAAGCGACAACACAATTTGTGTTGGGTACTTTCAAATATGCTCTTTCTTGTGGTTTGTAAAAAGACTTTTTAGAGCAGATGGTGTGCTCGAGAATCAAGTTTCAAAAATATGACAAAAATCCACAACCCCGTTTCCAACAGTGTACTCAGCAAGGAACGGAAAACGTGATCGAAGTTTTGATGTTGCAACTAGGTAGAGGAGAGCAATCATTTCTGATAAAAGCAAAACAAATCCGATCGAAAAACGTTTTGTTTTGATGAGGTTGAGGGATTTTTACTGAAAGCACCACCATATGGAACGGGTTCACGGTTGGTTTTTCTTTTTTGTGAAACACATTTCGAAGCCTATAACATTCTTACTAGATGAGCTAACGGGGGTCAATCAATAGTCATCTTGTAGAGCGTTTTTTACTGCATCTTTTCTTCATAGAGACAAATTTACTATCACTTGTTTCACTATAGAAAAATTTATTATTCAAATCGGGTCAGGACTTCTGGGCCACTCTTTATTTATCGAAAAGAAAATTCATCTCCATAAAAAACTTTTTCATCGAAGAAATATAATTTATCGTGTGAATAAAGAGAAAATAAAAAAAAAATAAAAATAAATATATTTTTACGTGTGAATAAATATATCCTGCTACCATTTTCTATGATTTATCGCGACAAAAGCAATAAAAGAAGCATCGTAATCGAAAACATAGGTAATCGACCACGCTGAACCTCGTGGCAGTAGTTGTTTTTCAAAACAGTTGAAAAAACCTAGCGAAAACCTAAATTAGGTGAAATAACCCATTTTTGCCTATTTTTGAATAAAATTAAAAAATTCGTAACTCAGTCAAGATTCATCCAAATTACGTCAGAATATCAAGATATACCCTATTTTACCTGCTCTAGTATGGATGTTGACGATGCCGATGATATTGACGTTGTTTGATCATCCGGGATGGGTGTGAGACTTTGCTGTTGCTCAGCGGTTGTCACTTTTATCTAAACAGAAAGTATTCTGCTTTTAATTCAATATTTGAACGGGTGTTCGTATTTTTCTACGTTTGATGAAGTGAGATGAATGAGTGATTTTTGAGGGTGCAAGGTAGAAGGAGAAGTGCGAAATATAGGTCACATATATATGTATGTCTATTCTTTGCCTTTTCTACATTGTGAAAAAAAAAAAACATGCATAGTTGCGTAATAAAAGAAAGGTTTCTCGCTCTCATTGTGTGATTATTCGTTTATCTTCTCTCTCTTCTTGACCATTAATGAAATTCAAAAATTATTATTCTGCTAGTAACACTGGCTAACATGATTTTCAACTAAAAAAATAACTAATAAGACTTAATTCCTTTCCATTGCTGAGAAACTTCCCATTTTCTAAATCAGGAGCCAAAAAACATTGGAACTGTGACCGTAATACTCAATTATCTCTATCCGAACTCATTGCTGTGCAATGGTAAAATTTTATCCTCAACGCAGTCAAAATTCATCAATCATCAACTAGACTAATTCACCACCACAGTCCCCAAAAGTTTGCGAAATATTTTGAGAATTTTGCGAAATATAACAGAATTTTGCAAGAATATTCTTAGACCTGTCACAGATTTCGCAGAATTTTGCCAAAACCAGCAGAATTTTGCGAAATCCTATTAGGCTTTTGCGAAACATTTTCAGAATTTTGCCAAAGAAAGCAGAATTTTGTGGAGAGATTTCCCAAAATTCTGCTGGTTTTAGCAAAATTCTGCGAAATCTGTGACAGGTCTAAGAATATTCTTGCAAAATTCTGTTATATTTCACAAAATTCTGCTTTGCTTAGCAAAATTCTGATAGGATTTCGCAAAATTCTGCGGACGGTGGTGGTGAATTAGTTTAATTGATTATTATTGAATTTTGGCTGCGTTGAGGATAAAATTTCGTCGTTGCACAGTCCTCTCCGAACTCACTTTTCATGCGATAGAAGTACCATAGTCGGCGTCAGCGTCGAAATTCGAGTGAATGATATATGTTTTGAAAGTTTCGTTGATTTTCATTTTTTGGTGAAAATCTTAGTAATTTTTCGACGTGAAAATTCGAAAAAAACAAAAGTGGTCAAATAGGATAAAAAGGTATATCATTCAACTCGGTTTCCGGCGCTGACGTCGACTATGATACTTTTATTGCATAAAGAGTGAGTTCGGGTAGAGAAAATTGAGTATTACGGTCACAGTTCCAATGTTTTTTGGCTCCTGATTTAGAAAATGGGAAGTTTCACTGCAATGGAAAGGAATTTCAAAAATTTGGAGTTATACTTTTATTGTATTGTTCAAGGCGGTTCGAATGGCATATCCCACAGGGTTTCATGTCCTCACACAAAAAGCCAGATAGGTTTTTGAGATGAGATCCCGCTTTTTGAACTCTTCGTACCATGAGTCTTATGTCAG